GTGGAATGTTGGGATATTTGTCAAATTGGCATTGATTTGCCGAAGTTGCGGATCACTTATAATGAAAAGTACGAGCAATAAAAACACGCTATCCCGGTCACCAATCCATACGTGAGCTAAAATAAGGGTTTCTCCTGAAATTTCACCAAAAGCACGTTAATAAAGTTGAAAATCTTTCGGATTTGATGACAGTTTACATAAGGTAGCACTTAACGCATTAATAAACAATGCAACTGCAATGATATCTATTAAGACAGATAGATCGCGTAGATTTATTTGAACTGATGAGAATATGAGAGATAGAAGCCAATTGAGCATTCTAAAATAGATGCTTGTGCATGGACACTTTCGTGTACACAATAATGATTTTACGTGGTGCCGATGATGCTACGAAATATTTTCTTTCGGAAAAATAATTACGTCAAAATAGCAAAAAAACAACCAAATTTCTACGATATACTTTAACAAATGTTCAAGAATGGAGGTCTTAGCGCAAGCACGAACACGTGCAATTTCTAAGTACGATTTAGCTAGCTTAATGTTCACTTAATAAGCACATCCGGTCACTTGCACAAGTCGGCGATCCTATTCATTATCTACCATGAATCATTTCACTGCCACACAAATAAGTTTTTTTAATGGGGTGCAATAATAGAGGAAGGCTGTAACGGGGTTTAACATAATAAAAAATGGAGAGGACAAAAAACAGTCTGCCCTTGTGTCATACGAATTCACACAGCCGTTCTGTTTTTCTACCCTTCCCTCATTCTCCCTCCCACCTGTCCGTCCGTCTGTCTGTCTATCAAAACACTGCCAAATTTGATGGTGTGGCCAAACTCAAGTGTAACGCCAATCATTCTCCCAATGTACCCCCTTCTACCTTCTCCACCTGCCTCACATACACACAGGCTGGAGGGGAGATAAAAGCCCTAATCGATAGATCCAACCCTTGCTTCCTCTCTCGCTTGCTCCGCCACTACCTCCCTTCCGCCCCTCCTTACCCATATCCGATCTGTCATGACTACCTATCTACCCACCTGTCAAGTCAACCTGCTCGGCCAGGAAACTCAACTGACGTGGGGCGAAAAACATGTTGAATAGCTCAAACACTAGATTAATAAATGGTTAACTGGTTTTTGAGTAGAGCTTACGTGCTAACGCCTGTTGCTGCTGCTGCTGCTGATGATGATGATGATGATGATGATGATGATGTGGTGGAGGTTGAGATGTTGTAGACCAGGTTCAAATGCCTCGTTCTTAGTCCCCACTCCTCTCATCTCTGCGTCACGCTTCCGATATATTTTGCGGCGACGTAGCACGCCGCCCTTTTCCATGTGTCGAAGAAAAATGTCTTCATCGTCTATGTCATCCACCGCTGTCACCGATGCTGCTGAAACTGACGTATGGTCTTCACCAAATGTCTCTTTCCCCGTTGTGGAGAGATTAAGCCCAGTATTTTCGCCGTTTGATTGGCTTTCCGGAATTTGGAAGGCCGATGGCTCCGTGTCAGCCATGCCTGTGAAGGATGGAACTGTTTGATTCCTGCAGAGACCTGCCATCGCCACAGCCGCGGCAGCCATCATGGCTGCAAGGGAAGAGGATGTAGAGGAGGAGGAGGTGGCAGAGGAGGATCCAGTAGAGGAATTCGCTCCCTCCATGGAAAAATTATTTGCCACCTCTCCAGCCTCCTTCTGCTGTTGACTCATCGCCGCCGATAGCATTGATCTGAAGAGGTTGGGATTTTGGGGTGGTGCAGTGGGTTGAGACGGAGGTGGCGGTGGCGGTGGAGGCAATGGTGGAGAAGCACATTGATCACCAATAATGGTGTCGGAAGGAAACTGCGACATCCTGGTGGGTGGCTGCGATGCCTGTTGACCATACCAAGCTGACAGCGCCGCGGTCAATGAGGTCGAGGAGATTGATGGAGCGGGCGGAGGGATTGGGGGGAGGCGGCTCTGTGACTCAAACGTCGGCGCCGCCAACTGGGAAGCGGAGAAGCTGGTGGTGGGGGCCCGAGCTCGAGTCTCCGACTGTTCGGTCGTCTTGCGGTCGGGTATCTGTTGTGTCATCAACTGTCGCATCGCTGTTGCAGCCGCGCTGGTCATCTGATCGAGCTTGGAGAGACCACCAAAGGGCCAATAGGGACTCGGCAACATGAAGGGATTCATTATATCGGGGGCTTGAAGACTTTGCGAGAGATTAGGTAGCCAAGGTTCGGTCATATCAGTAGGCTGAGGAATTGATTCAGTGAAGACTGATAGCGAGGGACAGCGTTGTATTCGTTTTCTAGGTATTTCCTTTTCCCTCTCGGGGGACTTAGCAGCCACCTTCACCGGGAGGTCTCTCGAAGAGTCTATTTGTTCTGATCTGGAAGACCTGGATTTATCCTGAATGTAGAGGAAAAATAAGATGTAAATATAAACACACGCACACGGGCGCGTGCGCATGTGCGCGCAAAATGGTGTAAGAGCGGAGATATTGCAGGGCAGGAAAAGTGATTGATGCAAGGGTGAGATCTGACGACGTGATATATTTTTCAGACCCACTGAGAATCTTTTAAGAAAATTTATTGGCCAAAGGCTGTCTCCTATCAACTCGTGGGTGGGTTGGGCAGAGAGGGGGTACCTATTGGCATTTAAAGAGGGGTCTACGATGGGAGCACAAGCACACAGACACGGGTATGCACACCAGCACTAGTGCATCAACACAAAAAACCAGGTGAGAGAGAGAGATGGAGAACAGAGAGGACCCAGGTCGTGATTTATTTGCCCAGCTGGTTGCACCAGTTTTCGGTACTTGGACCAATTAGAGATAGATAGCGAGAGAGAGAAGGCGATTATCTTTGGATGAAGATAGAGGCACGCACACACCCTCGCATCCTCCACATGATCAGTGCCACCTGTGTTACGAAATGCGTGCGCACGTGAATTATTGGCATAATCGACTCCTTGCACAACTGCATGTCCGTCAATTAAGGCAACCAGCAAACAACGAGTTACAACGATTCCTCATTTTTCCTACCAGCAACACGCTTAGCTTTTTGGCATAAATAAAGGCTCCTTAAACACGTGTACATGATCATTTTTAAGGTTATATCAAGTAGTAGTAAAGGGTTTTTTTGAAATAGTCCCCAAAACTTGACAGTCTCTGCGACAGACAACAAAAGCTCAAGAGAAGCGATGAGATTTGACATTTACGTAGGTTTATGAAAACGGACTATTTATATTTGGAGTCCACGGATGTCACCAAGCTTTGTTATTATGTATGGGGATAGGCTTATCCATACTCCAGCTTCTTTTAATATCAAGATCATGTTGAATGGCATAGATTATGAAAAACAGTGAATAACGTTTAGATTAAAGTAAAAAAGAAAAGGGTATTTATATTTAGAAAAAATCAGTGCTTTTGAACATTATGGCACCGTTAATATCGCTGATTTGATGGGAAGTGATCATCATTAAGTCAGAATACTGCAGTGGCCCTTAGAAAATGAAATGGGATTCGAAGGACGTTCAATAATCATAAAATTCAGTCGATCAGATCCAATCAAAAATGGATTTTGGAATAACAGAGTTTACTCAAACAGGCCGGTTTCTGACCTGAAAAAATCGTTTACTCCAAGTGCAAAACTAATCTGCCAAGATGGAAAAGTTTGACATAACTACGAATCCTATTTTGAATTCCACTATATGTATGCACTGGATTTTTGTTTATCGCTAAAATGGATGGTTATAACTTTGTTTTATATAAACTATTCAAAGGCATGTAGATAATTGTGTCGTTTTCTTTTATTCGATAACAAGGCTAGTCTTCTGAGATTTCATATTTTCTTCTTCGACTTAGTCTGGTAGCTTGCACCTTCACAAATAATTGCACTTCTCCCTCCTCCAGTTTCCTATTAATTCGCAAACACCGCCTTTGTCAATTAGAGACCCTTTATGTGGTTTATATTCAATCCTGGTTAACCCTTATAGCTACATGGGTCGGAGGTGGTGCGGAGGAAAGGCAGGAGGCATATGCGACACAATTACAGGTTGGTGGTTAATTGGAAGCTTCAGAGGAGTGCTTTGAAACGGGGCGGGCAGTAAATGGAAAGGCAGCAGTACACCTGCCGCTTTTCTCGCAGCGACCAACAGCTTCTTTGATCGAAAAACCGCTGTCTGTTTACGGAACCGAACAAAGTCCATGCACACACACACACACACACACACATCGAAATCGACGCAAAATCGCAAGCATTCTCCCAAGGATGAATGCGAGTGGATTTCTGGGCATAATTAGAGGGTATAAACTTTCGTGATTAGGAGAGAAAAGGAGGTGAAGGAGGATGGGCACTCGAAATGCCATGAGACTGATTAGAGACTATGGTAATTGCATAAACAGCATCAATTCGAACATACGTCTCGCACTTTTCTGGAGCACACAAACGCAGAGATGCGAACAGAGAAGACATCTGATGAGACAGGCGACCAGATACCGTCTTACACGCGCGCGGGTACGAAGCTATCAATTAAGCAGCAGCTTGCTAATTAGTTTGTTGAGAAAGTTGAGACTTCTCCAAGCTTCCTGCCATTGTTGCTGTGGCTGCTGTTCCTCAATTAAGTGACCTGTTCGGTAATGGGAGTGACGCACTGAAAACTATTTCCATCTGTATCCATCCAACAACTCGATCAAACTCGTCAGTCTGCATGCATTTCCTTTCTTTGGGAAGTGATTAGAACGGTTGAGAGTTGAAGATGGCAAGTTTTTCACCTACACTTTTGTCTGGTGGTAGATAAAGGGGTTCTCAATGAGCCTATAACTCAATAATAAATGCTTACATATACTTCCAGTATCGTAGCATGGGTTTTCAGTGGGCTGGATCGAGCATCATCTGCCCTATTTGCCCACTCACTCACTCATTCACTAGTTCCTCCATATATATCTGTGGACGCGGAAAGTGTAATTAACGCCTCTTTAACGTACAGAGTGGCAAAAAGTAGCAAACCAGAATGGCAAAAGAGGATTACAGGGAGAGAAGGAAGTTTACCGCCGGTGACACTCCCCAAGGAAAATGAGGAGGCAGTGATGGGAAGCAGTTGAAGCATTTAAAAAAGACACTACCGCCACCTTAGTAGGTCTTGTTGAAGGCGTAAGAACAAAAAAATTAGGCAGAGAAGTAGCGGTACCACACGATATCTGCCGCCGCACTATCAAATCACGAGGGCGAAAAGGCAAATAGAGACAGAAATCATCCCCGTACTCCACTCTTCCGAAAGCAAAACTCACTTTGTGTAAGATGCACCGAATTCCAAGAATCTTACAAGGCCTGATTTATTTAATTGCGCGATAAAATAGAAGCACGAGGAGGCTCACACAATCTGACAAAGTAATCAAAGTCTGCCTCCGCCATCTGGTTATCACTGCGTCCGCCCTCCACTTCCACTACTGGCTGCTCCGTGAGCCAAGTAATGAAAGAACCTATCAATCCGTTCCTTCTCTTTATCTCCCCAACTCCATTTTATTAAGTTAGAAAATCAGCATCAAACGACTTGCAATCTATGATGGCACAAAGTGAACCATGAAAGTAGCGTACTGTGATGCATTTTTGTAAGGAGCTGACAGTTGGACCTCACTGTACTGTATTTCGTCAATAAGTCGTCACCTCGTTGCCATAGCTTCTGTCGATGAATTGAGGTGATTAACCATGGCAGTTCGGTCTCAACACCGAGGTGGTTGCAGCTGTGTTATAACAAGCCTTGACAACCCCTCCATCGCCTCCCTAGTAATCACAGTCTAGACACGTCACACTTCACATCTGTTCAGGACACACAAGTAAGTGTGAATAAGGCTGAGTCATTAAAGTAAGCATGATGACAGTGATGATGATAGAAGGATGAGAATAAGTTTGAGGATGAGGAGAGGGAGCCGTCTTCTGCTCTTTTCCCACTAGCTTCTGCTCCCAAACGCCACACGTTTTTACGCGAATGCATACACCCGCGTGCGTGTAACGGTTTTGACTGCCTCCTCTACGCACATGTGGTAAAACATAGTTGTGTACTTGCTTCGCTTTGTGGTGCAAAAAGGCAAAAAAAAGGGGAATTAAGTGTTACTCCTGCCGCTACCGCCGTGATGGCGGGTGGAGGAGAAAGAGGAGACAAGAGAGGAAAACCATGGATTTAACTATTTCTTCATTCAATTCAATGTCTCACGTCATTGTCAATCAATACAGGTAGCAGTATTCAGCGCACACTGTATTCATAAGCATATTTGACCAATACTTGTCGTTGGTGCAATGAAGAAATGTCTTTTTGCGTGGCGAGAACGATTTTGATGGACCTTGCTTATAACTCATTATTCTAAACTACCGTTTAACATCTTCATTGCAATTAATTATATAAGTAATGTTTAAAAGCAACAGAAACACAACTCTAACTGCCACTTGAAGTCATTAAATCGCGTTGAACTCTATCGCTCCGTTAAAGATTTCGCATGACCAAGACGTAAAACAAACTTTTGGCTATTTATTCGTGCAATGGCTTAATCAAGGCAGATGGCAAAGAACAAAAACATTTTTCGTACAGCTATGCTGAGGCGGCATCTTCATGATTCACAATACGGCAGCTACGGCTACTTCCAATACACTCCCTTCTGAGTTTATTAATTCAAACTTATTTGCTCAGCAAACATTGTAATTTCATTAAGCGTTGGTATTTTCTAAAGGGAAAACAATAAAAGCAGTAGACCACCACCTGCGTGAGGCCATTGAACTTTATTAGGGTCTACCATTCTGTAAAATATCCTCAAAACTTAGATGTAATGAAAGTTTTATTCATTCAGTGATGCGTTCCTGAGCGGGTTGATGATGGATCAATCAAGACAGACGACGAGGTTCGAAGTACACTTACTATGGCTAGGTTGAGGCGAAAACTTCATGGTTTAAGATGAGCACCGGCTAATGAATTGGCTATGACTACTATACCAATAATATTTTCATGACAATTTATTTGTCTGGACTGGCTTTTAATAAGACGTCTTTCTTAAGCGCAATAATGCAGTGATATTAAAAAAAAAATGGTAAACTAACTACTCTTCCTTGAAGGAAACCTTAGACCTCAAAAATAAAAGGAAATTCGTTCTTTCCCTGCTAGGTTATTAGTGAACTAAACTTTTGTGTAGCTGTATTGAGGCAAAATCGTCATAATAGCTAGGGCCATTTCCATTGTTTGATAAGACATCATTGCTTAATTTAATGGTATATTTAAAAAGTTGGAAGCAGGACGCTATGCCACTCCAATAAGAAAGAGCAAAAACTCCGAAGCGAAGCAGATTTTCATTCAGTTGAGAGTGGATTGGCAAAAGGTAAATCAAGGCAACCTGCGAATAAATATTAGGCGATGTTGTTAAG